ATTTTTTTACGCACCGCATCAATTTTTTTCCGCTTCGACATGATCATTAAAGCTGTAATTTTCCTTGAAAAAAAGACCCTTTCTTCTTTTAATTATCGCTAGGTGGCGTGCTAGAAGGTAATTACAAACAAATCTACCATCACGCCATCTCGCGGCGAGTATCGAAAACTGAAAGAAAAACACAAGGAGACGAAAAAAACGTAATAATAGTCAAGTAATTTGAGGTTTTCTGATTGTGATAAGGCGTAATTTAAAATTAATATTCTAATTATAATTTTGTCTTATCTTTTAACACTTTAATCATTATCAATTAAACATTCTTTAAACTTTACATCGTGTTTCTATAAATAAATTTACAGAGGAATAGCCTTAACTACATAAAAGTCGTTTTATATAATTAACGAAAATTTTCGTGTTATAAATCTCTTCTTAATATATTTATTTACCTTGTCTTAATATCTAAAATTATCGCATGAAAGATAATTTTGAGAAATTTTAAAATTACTGTTAATTAAACCAAAGTTAATTATGATCGAGAATGATAAATATATGTATTTATAATGTATATATTGATCATTATAACAGATTATCTTTGTATACTTTAATTCGCCTCTTTATATGCTAAAAATATCATTCAAGATAACATTTTTCTTGAATTTAAACATAAAAATCTTAGGTTTATGCCTTATATTATACGTTTTATTCCCTGTAGATGCGTAATACTTTGAAAGATGGAGAAAATCTTAGCTAATTACCTAATATAATTTATCTTCTTATCGATTATCCAAACGTTCTAGAGATTGTAAGAAGTAGAAAAATATTCTTATCTAAATAAAAAAACACACTTAAACAATTAAAACTTCATTTCTTATCATTAAAAGAACAATTAAAATAAATTAAAAATTCTAGATTTTCTTACACTTCAACATTGTTAATTATTTTCTAAAAACATGTTTTACATTAATCAATCATATTTTTAGTATATCGATCACCTCTACATAAATCACCTTCGTGTACACCGACAACCCCATTAGGGTGTTTTTTGGAGGGGGTAGATAATTAATTGTGATAATCTCTTTGATCTCTTATTATAACGTAGAAATAGAGGGAGGATATTAAATAAAATAAAAATGGAAATTTTCTTTTTTAAAAAATACATAGAATATTACGTGAAATTCTCGGGAGATACTTTGTGTATTTTGGCAGTTTTCCCATTTCTTAAAATGCTGATTGAATATTTTGACACCTGCTGGCAGCTTTTGGCCGTTGTATGATAGATAACGGCCATCTCCTGTGATGTCATCATTCGAAAATAGTCTTTAGATAGATATTGGTATCGTTGATAATACAGTCGACCCCCCTATAACACTGTTGACTTTTCCGTTTTATATGAATTCCATGTTGTACGAGTCACTTAGATTTTAGAAATACGTGTGCCGGGCTGTGAACGGCTCACGTATTTGTAAAATGTAAGTGACTCGTACAACATGGAATTCATATAAAACGGAAAAATCAACACTGTTATAAGGGGGGTCGACTGTAATACAGTAATTTTTTCAACCTAATTTAATGCCAAATTTTTGAATTATATAAGAAGAAACGGACCCTGGCTAGTGAAGAAAACCGGGAGAACGCTACGTTAATGAGGCACGAACCCACGACCACGACTATTGTTTAGCGGTTTTATCCACTCGGCCACTGGTGGACCTGGGTACTTAAATCACCAGATATGTAGCTACGGTTTTAGGTTATGTAAGACATATTATAATTATGTAATTTTATATATAATGTGAAGCTTTATATTTGATATTGTACAGGTTTAAGATCTCGAGTATTGGTATTTCAGCCTATCTACCATTCTTTAAAGCCTAAGTAACCTATGTCTGAAACTGCTACTAAACATAGGTCCTGATAATAAAACATTAAAGATATAAATCAACATTGTCGAAAACAACATGATGTATTATTAAAAGGAGAAATGTTACGATTGAAAATATTTTGAATAATTAATTCGTTGAAAAACACTAATGCAAATGGTAGCATTTTTTTTTATAATTTTGACCATCCAAAAATAGACTTAATTCAATTTGTTTGAAAAGTTTTTCAAGTATGTAACGAGAAAATAAATAATAAATCTATGTGAAGTATTTGAAATTAATGTTGATAATGTTTTTCTGATTAATAATAAAGATTTTTAATGGTGTTTTTATGGATAATAATTATATTTTATCACTCGAGAGTATGTCCAAATTGTATTCCAACGTTTCGTTTTAATAAAATAATAATAATAACCAACAATTAATTACTGTTACAATGTCACAATGCTCTCAATTTCACTAGTGTCTTACCCCTGTACATCATACTTTTCCTGTTAACAGGAAAGTCGTGCTAGTAAGTCAGGAGAAATATTTCAATTGAAATAACGTGACTTCCTCTCTAAATAGGAAGATTCAATATACTTAATCTGGTGTCTAACTTCTAATATTTTCATATCTGGTCTCGACTTTAATCTATCTAACTCCCTTCTCGATATTAAGGAAGGACAGTCAAACGGAAAATAATAGGGCTTCAATTTTCAAAAATTTTTAAAAATTCTTTTACTTTAAAAACATCTTAAAAATACATATGAAAAGTAAACATATATACTTAATAATTAACCAGAATTCGTTTAATTTAACTTAATTATATAATTAGTTAAAGGGTGTTAGTGTAATAAACATTTATTAGTAATATACTTGTAAGGCACGTTGCGTTAAAGGAAAATACATAATTTTATTCACGTTTAACCCGATTCTGTCATTTGTAAATCTTATTCAGGAAATGCAAAATCGTCAAAAGTTTATTCACTGCTCTTTAATACAGATTATATGCAAATGAATCAACTCTCAATCTGTCATTGCTGCTTGTTAAACATTGAAGAATACGAGTTAGAGATTAGTAAAGGCTTTATATTGTACAGTAGAAATTCTGGTAACGTATATACACTTTGACTTTTAATGTAATCGAAAAGGAATAAATAACCACAGTCAATACAAATGAATAATAAATTATCATTTATGATAACTGTATAATTTACTGAAGTTTGTTTAAGAGAATTTCGTTTTCTACACGAATCTCTTACGCATCTAATCATGTTTATTAGATGCTGAATCCATAAATTGTTTAGGGATATAAAAGGTATTATACAAAAATCCTTTCTTTACACAGTTTAAGCTTTAAGGATGGTTGTTACATACTAAAATGGATTAATGTATTAAAATTCGTTAGTTGAAATTTTAAATTGTTTTCATGTTGTGTTAAGATCGTATCAAATATTAAGTTCCTTCATCGATAATGTAATTAATGTATTGTAGAAGGAAGTTAAATTTTCGATAGAGCATCCTGTTTCCACTCGATTCGTGCGTGTAAACAGGGATTTTGTAATACTTCTGTGCCAATTTTTTTTAAATAATTTTGATAAAAAATTATATATTTATTAAGTTAGAATAAGCTACGGAATAAAATTATATTATAAATTAATGCATTTTATATACAATACCTTCCCCCCTCTACGTATGTGATATCACGAACAAAGTACAGGCAAAATACGATCCTTGAATATAGAATTACTTCAACCACTGTAAATTATTTTTATAAAACTTTAAAGAATTATAATATAAATTGTTTTCCCTTATTTATTTTCCGTATATTATACAAAGATATTTATAAAAGTACATCGAAAAGGATGTCACATACCAATTTTGGTTACAGGTTTGCTGGACAGTTAGAAGTTATAACACTTAAAACTTCACAAATCAGAGTTAAACACGCTGGAGTTTACTTATTTACGTGTTAAATGTTAGTTATTTATAAGGCGTTTAAATGATATTTTACCTTATTTATATTTATAAATCACTTAAAATCAAGTATCTAGAAAATATTTACAAGAGAGTCTCTTGTGATCGGTTGATAAGTGTGTCAAATATTAAAAGTGATGATCTATTTCTATGTAAATAACCTTGAATATTACATTATATTAATACTTTTTCTTGTAAGTAAAGTGATATTATAACGAAAATTAACTTTTTATAAGCGTAAAGGAAGATTTTTCACAAGTAGTGAGAGTTAATTGGAGTGTTTTATGTGTGTTTGTACTAAACACATAAAAATTCCCACACACACACACACCGTTACGAAAGACACGTAGAAATATTTCTTGGAAAAATTAATACACGTAAATACGTGTAAAATACAAATACATTCATAAAAATATCAAATTTTCCTTTAAAAAAGGTAAATAAATCTAATGCGAATTTTTAAACCTATACACAACGCTGGTGTGATTTAACACACGAGTTTAAAAATTTATACCAATTATTATAAATTTAAATTATAATTTTCTTGATTAAAACGAAGAAAAGTATTTGCTTTAAGTCACCGAATTGTTTACGTCACACTAAAATAACATTAAGATGGTCCCATGCAATAACACGACTTTCTCTATTTTGGTATTCTGTGAGGTCGAACAATCGACTAGTGTGATTTTGAATATTCGTATGTAGTGAAGAAAACTTGCAATACTGACCCGTGACGTCATGACCGATGACGTTACAGAGGAACGTTGTCCTTGAAGTCTCATTGGGGTGTTAAAGGAAGCGATAAAAACAGAACATCAAAGCTTTCCATTGTCAAAGCACGCACAATCTTACAAAGGTAAGTTTAAAAGGAGTTTAATTCTTTACTTTCGATTTTTATCACTTCATAATACTATAGATAATACGCTGACGTCGCAGTCTCACGTGATACACCAGTAACCAATTAACACGTGCTTTTTCTGTTTAACTAACACTAATCTCTTTTCGCAGGTTAAGCATGTTTAAGTTTACCGTTCTCTACCTTTTAGGGGTGAGTTATTTATTTTTACAAGCGATTTTATAAATGTTAACACAGCTTTTTTATTAGGATTTTTTTTATATTAGTTAAATATTTGAATTTTTCTTCATTTTTTTTTAAATTTTTCATAATTACACCCCTCATCTGTTTGTGCTACAATGACACGTCTTCTCTTCAGATAACTTTTGGGACAATTTCTAATTCGTCTCAACAGATGGCGATATCATACACGGAGAAGAAGTTCGTAGCAAAGCAGTTACGTGCCCTAAGGGAGTGTTACAGTTCCCAACTTGAGCAAACTTCTTACAACGATACGAGTAATTCTCACCATTAAAATCTACTTTAAACAATGTTAACATTACTTTTTTTCTCATTATTATTATATATTATTTTCAGTAATATATTGTCCAACTGATTTTGATGGATGGAGTTGTTGGTTGCCAACACCTGCTGGGAAAACATCTACTATTACATGTCCAAAAATCATATACGAAGGAGACGAAGCGAGTATGATTTATATATATTTTTATAACTTAAAAATTGTAAATAGAATATTGTGAATAGATGATGAAATCAGTAAGTTATAGCAACGTAATGTACATGAAATTATTCATTTACGTACACATACACGAAGGAATAACAAGAGAAATTCTTCTTATTCCTTCGTGTAGTAGATGTAAACTATTAAAATAACACATCTGTTAATCAAAAATTGCGACATTACCCTTTATTTAAAACACATCTCTCCTGTTAAAATGTCATTAACAGTTACTCGAAAGTAATTATTTTCTTAGGATACGCCACAAGATTTTGTCAAGTCGATGGTACTTGGCCTATTGATCCAAAAAGCCAAATTGACATTATCGATTACAGTTCCTGTTTATCTAATTTTTCTAAAGTAAGAATTTATGCATATATATAAATATTTTCCTTACTATTCTAATTTTATGTAAACAACTTGTCAAAAAATAAACGCACGACATTCAAAGTCTAAAACCACGTTGCAGCCTAAGGGGGTAAAAAAATAAAAAAGCCTACCTTAAGTCTGTCAAAAAAATAAAAGGAGTTTTCACAGATGAGAACCGAACCCACGTGTTTCGATGTATTCCATATGTAAGTTTACCAAATATCTTAACTGTCGAGACACTTTTTTATATTAGTTATGTACTTTGAGTGTTATTTGCGTTTGTTTATAATTCAAAAAATTTAATTACTATGTGAAAGAATTCGATAATATTTTGGTATGTAAATTCTCTCCTTTTTTTGAAATCGTAAAGCGAACCTTTATATTTCCTGTAAATTTAATTTAAACACTTAAATACCACCTTTTGTATGATCACAAATGGGGTTGGTGTTAGACTTGTATGCTTAAAGAAAGCTTCAAACTTCACTGTATATAAAAAATAAGTTGAAAATGTGAGGCCCTAAACTTTAAACTCGTGTACTGAGGCCTTTAACGGGTTATTAAAGGTATACAAGGTTGGCCCGATTATAGGTCTATACTCTCGCTTTACGACTATATAATTATGTAAGCCTTCTGTTTATTAGAAAATTATGTGAGAAATTACAAATTACATACATTTTTTTGTCTTATTTACACTCGAAGCAGGTACCAGATGTAAAGTTACTGACGTATGTTCTAACGAAATTATCACTTTCTGATTGGAATCCTTATGAGGCACCAATGGATGAAATCTCATTAGAAGAATGTATTACAGAAATTATATTATCTGATCATAAACCGTTAGGTACAGTACATCATAATACCTTTGATATTTTTATGTATAGTTAAATATATAATATTTCTTTTCTAATATAGCAATAATAAGAATTGTTCTGATTTATGATTTATGTTACTTACAGATGGGTTATATTGTGAAAGAACTTATGATGGATGGGGATGCTGGAATGACACGAAAGCTGGAGATATAGCTTACACCAAATGCCCAGCTATGATATTTCCCAATTCTGAAGAAAGTACGTATAAGAAAATAAATTTATCTTATAGGCCCTATATCCTATATATATATATTAAAGCATTCTAGTGTAAATTTTAGAGAATTTTATTGATTAATTCTAATAACTGTTTAGTATAATTAACTTAGGAACAGCATATAAAGTGTGTAATGAAGATGGAACATGGTTTAAACATCCTCATTCTAACAAAACATGGTCCAATTATACTACTTGTGTAGACTATGAAGATTTGAAAGTATACCCTATTTACTGTCAATTAGATATTTAAGAAGATTTATTGTTAAATTAGTCATTTTTTCATTATTATTATTACTTTTTTTCAGTTTAGACAACTGATTAATTCACTTCAGATGGGTGGATATGCAATATCAGCAACAGCATTGATCATATCTTTATTCATATATTTTTACTTTAAGTAAGTATAAAGTAGTGTTTAAAACTTATTAAAATGAATTTATTAATGGAAGAATGTATAAATAAATTAAATCAATACATTTTTGAAAGTGTATATAAGTAAATTCTTCAATATAATTTGATCAAAGTGACTATCAATCAAGAATTTCTTTTGATGTAATTATATCAAAGTAAATTAAAGAATGACTTTTGATTAAAATTTAATTCAATTTCTCTTTCTTTAACTTTCAAAGTACATAAAAGTGTTTATTTAACAGATTATTAATGAAAATTTCTTTATTTTCTAGAGCTTTGCAATGTACAAGAGTTATTATCCATAAAAATTTATTCACTTCATTCTTTGTCAGTAGCATACTATGGATAATATGGTACAGTACTGTTGTAGCTAATCATCAGATTGTTAAAGACAATAAAGTATGGAAAGATTACTCAATTAATTCTACTTTCTTCTTAATTTATATCTTTAATTAATTAATTATACATGTAATTTTATAGATAAGTTGCCAGGTTTTACATATTCTTTTATATTACTTCATGGTAACTAATTATTTTTGGATGTTGTGTGAAGGTTTATATCTTCATGTATTACTTGTCATTGCTTTCTTATCAGAATCAAAAGTTTTAATATGGTTATACTTTCTTGGTTGGGGTGAGTTAATTAAACAAAGTATATTAAAATTTAATTATTTTACTAATTTATAACTTAAAAAAAAAAGTAAACTTTTATTCAGGATTTCCTGTAGTTTTGATCGTAGCTTATGGAGTTGCAAGAAGTCGCCACTCTGAAAATATTTTACAGTAAGGACAATTCTTATATCATGTTTATATAACTGCTTAGTGTAAAAATTAGTATAAATATTTACAGTATGATAAGCATGTATTTATGTTAGATAAAAAAAAAAACCATGTAATAACAATTCCTGTTTAATCATTTTAATTTATTTCTAATATACAATTTTAATTAAATAAGAGTTTATTAAGCATTTAATTTATAAAAAGAAAACAATTCTATAATTCTTTTTCTAGTTGCTGGATGGATGACAGTAAATATTTATGGATATTGTCAGGACCAGTTTGTATATCATTAATAGTAAGTGTATAACTTACATAATAGTTTCATTAGTTTCTAATAAACAGTATTTTTTTTTTCCTTTAATAAATTTATGATTCTATGTATTTATTTTTAACTGATTTCTCCAAACTAATAGTGTGATTTGCACACTTTATCATACATCTCTGTTCCATTTTTTTGGTATAAATATATGTTTGTGGAAGGGGCATGTCTGTATTTTCTAAGAGAATAACACGAAAGCTTACATTTTTCTACACTTTAAAGAATATAACATGAATTTATTTGAGTAAAAAGTAAGAAAATTTAGCTATTTTCTCAATGTTTCTCTCTCTCTCTCTCTTTTAAAGAAGGAAACATAAGGTATTGGTGTTTATATTAATTTAAATAAACAAGATATATCTGTTAATGTATATTTATTTATAGGAAAAACTCCTGCACACTATTTATTTGCATACAAATATAAAACTTTACATTTATCTATACTATAAAGGGAAGAAAAGTAAGGATTTTCAACTGAATTACCTTATTTTCTTTTCTTAATGTTTGTGTTTATCTTAATTTAAATAAACAAGATATGGTTTCATGTATTTTATATTTAGGTAGAACTTTTACACACACAAACACACACTATATGTTTCATTCTCTATAATATGTAACTTGCAAAACATTAATGAAATGTTATTCTCTGTATTGAAAGTGTGAAAAATTAAGAATGACATTTAAAAAATTTTATTTGTAAAGTTAGAATATTTACAGAATCCAGAAAACATTTCAATTATATCCAAGAAGGAAAAATTTCAGTTAACTCACTTATTTTTAAATAGAAAAAAGTATAAATAAATAGGCTACGACTCGCAACATTGATTAATATTATTTAAAATTACATAAAGCAGATTTTATAGGAATTTTTTTTTACTTTACTTTACTTTACTTTATTATTTTCCAGATGTGTATAAAAAAAATTAATCCTTTAATAAAATTTCATCAATAAATTTCATTCAAATCATATTAGACAGTAAGAATAATAAATTATTAAAGGATTTTTAATGCATTTTATTTATTTATTTATTTAAAAAATAACTGTAAATATTCTTTTAAAATAAACATAAAAAATTGCCATTTTATTAATGTAATATATTTTTTTTTACTTTTTTTTTAGTGTCAGAACATAAATTTTAAAGTCATTACATTTTTTTTTTGTCCATTTTTTTGTAATTTATTTAATTTATGTTTTTATTTTAATAGATAAATAAATTAAATATATGTTTTTTTTTTTAAATTTTCAGTTANTAGTAACAACAGTTTAAAAAGAACGATTATTTGTTTTTAAATGCATTTTGAAATTTATATTTATTCGAAGTTATATATTAAAATTCAAATAAACTTTTTCTGAGAGTTGGAGATTAACGACCGTTCGAAACCAACGAATTGTCTAACGGTAAAAGTTTAAAGCTGTATCGCAGGAACAGTTGTTGCTTTTGCAACGAACAACTGGCCTCCTAGTATTAATAGAATTAATCAAAGTACTAGAAATAGTCGGATATCACAGTTTTTGACAACGGGAAACGAAAATATTGATATAAACAATTGATTTGAACAGCAACAAGTTAACTTTTCGCCTTCGAAAATCCTATTTATCTTTATCTTATCGAATGAATCTAAATTTAACATTGTGTAGCGATAAATGCAAAGAAGCTCTTAATTAATGGTTTATGCTTTTCGTTACTGTTTAATCCAACTTCGATTAATTAAGTATTCACTCTACACAAAAAATATTTATATAAAATTCAACAATAATAATAGTAAATATTTATTATGTAACTCTGACGAATTTTCACATTTTCACTATGTTATTAAAATGTATGAAACTTGATAGTTTACGTGATCAATATGAAATTGTTCGTACATGCAATGCCAAATCGCAACGTGATCTTCTAACGAGTTTAAACGATATTAATAAAAAGGCTTTATATAAATTTTATAAATAATTTGTTCAAATAATGGATATATACATATATATATCCATTATATATATATATATATATATATATAACTTATTTATGTTGCAATTAAGTACCAATTAATAATATTAATTATAAATAAAAATTAATATAAATTATTAATCCAATATTATAGAATTTTAATTAGGAAAAGTTCAATTAAATTAAGTCTTAGAAAACTTGTTACTTTTCATAGTGGTTAAGTACTTAAATAATAATTGCAACATAAATAGGTCATAAGTGCCAATTAAAAATATAAATTATCTTGCAATCTTTAATTTCAACACCTAATTTGTTTCAGCTGTTCATCACATTCAAGGTATTTTTCTCTTCCCCTAATTTCCTCATTAGTCAATCTACCAAAAATAGAATTAAAAAACCTTGCTTTATTTTTTTTTACCTGTTGGCTTATGCAAAAATATAATATTTGTAATATTTTAAATGACCTTACTAACTTTAGAAACAAATATTCACTCACTAAATATGCTAAAATGATCAATCTTCATCTAAACGAGTGTCAAAATTTGAGCCAAAATAAATGTTAACAGTCAAAAATCTTATATAATTTTAACAGGAGCCAAATATATATTTTAAAATTAAAATATATAACTCTTACACCCACGATTTTTATAGTAATTAATTACGTTTTACGTGTATTTATTTACTCAAAAATCACTTCACAAACACTCTTTTTAATACTTCTTATCATTAATAAATCTCTTAATACTTAAACGTTAACGTCAAAACACGCAAAAACTTCTTAAATAAATTCATTTTTTATTATTATTAATTCTTTTTTATAAGTCTTAGTAACGTGATATAAATGATAAATGAAAAGCTTAATTTATAACGTATTGAACTATCAAATAACAACTTATGAATATCGTTCAGTTAAAGGAATGTATCTGATATCTTCATTTAGATTAATATTATGACGTCTTATAATACTACTTTTAAATTTGTTTACATCCCTTCTTTAACAGATCTAACACAAAATTTATACTGATAACAAGCGACGTATACAACTAGAAAAGGTAGTTTATAGTCAACACGTCGAAAAAAGTGACATGTATTGTTGTTGCTAAGCGAATACGTTGCTTCATAACTACATAAATATATGATGAAAACGAGTAACATATTCATGATTCTCTCTAAGAACGGGGTTTAAATATTAGCACCGTTCTATCCTTTTCTGCGTGGGGTACGAACCTCGACACTAGTACTATAAAGCAATGCGTATTTTCTTCATGGTCCAAGGTAAATGACACTCAATGACACAGTGTAAAGTATTCTAAAGGATGTCTTTCATAATTCTGTATCGATTTCTCTTTAAGCACTTGAGGTATTTAATGTCAGTTTACTCGTTAATAACCACTCTTATTTCCAAGGAAGTAGAAATAAAGTTTATTTTGATACGAAAATTACACAAGAAAGAGGGACTTTATATATATATTTCGATCAATCTTTCCGCAAAAATATAACATTCAACAAAGCATGTTGTCGTTTAAAATAATACAACACTTGCCGAANGATCGATTCAATTCGAGAAAATGCTACTTTTAAGAATAATACTTTATCAATACACAGAACATTTTTTGGTCTAAATCTTGGATTTTTTCCAATGATTTATTGTTTGCTTTACAAAACATATATTTCAATAGTAAAGCACTTTAACAATCAGATATTATTTGTTTCCATTTTATTGCCATATTCTCAACTATGTATAGCAATAAGACAAAGAGTAATCCTCGGGTTGACCACAATCTATTATTATAATATATTTCAGGGATTATGTGTCTCGCTGCTGTTCTGTTTTTTTAACAATGAGGTAAGTTATTCTCGAATTATCTTGAATATAAGTGAAAGAACTATGAAATATCTATATTATAGTACAATTATATAATGATAATTGTATGAGAAAACAGAGGGGCATTATCCTATGGGCAAAAAAAGCAATTGCCTCTAATTCAAATTTGCTGGGTCCCTTGAAGGTATAACGTTCTACTGTTAGAGAATTGGGTGAGTTTGAAAAAAAATAAACTGTATACAAACAATTTTTACTATATAAACCTGTACTAAGAAGAACAAACACGTATCTAAGTGGAATATTTTTTAGTAGTTTACTCATTTTAGTGTCAACATAAGGTAGAAAATATGGTAGAAGTAAAACGTGGGGGACCTGCATTACTTGGAATTTAGCATTGTTATATATTTATTTGTATATACAGCAACGCTTTCCCACATACCAATTGGAAATTGGTCCCTATTTAGGTGTTGTAAACGTGAAGGAAACCCGGAAAACTCTACTTTGCCAGGCGCGAACTCACGACTCTATTGATTAGTGGTTTTATCCACTCGGCCACTGGTAGGTCCTATACTTGTTACATTAAATCAAAAAGTAGAATAATATAGAAGAGATAGTAAAATTAAAAATACATTAAATCGAAACAACAACGTAACTTAATACGCGGAACAGAAGTTTGATTGGAAAATAGCCAAAATTTTCTAGTTGGATGTCGGAAAATAAATATCTTTTTTTTTACGTGTCTTCGATTATTATTTTTAGCTCATATTTTCTGAAATCTCTCTTCAATATTGTTTGCATAGTTACATCACAAAATCTAGTACATATTCCATGTATTTAAATTTAAAACTGATTGATAACTTATATACCTCGCGTGACCTTTGATTGCTGTTTGGCTAAAAAACAGCGTGCTTATTACCCGAAATTTGAATTTTTTCACATATTACAATGTTTTCTAGTAGTGCTGTAAAATAAGAAATGCTTTAAAGTAGTATAAGTAAGTGTGAGTATGCTTTAAAGTAGTATAAGTAAGTGTGATTAGTGCTTTAAAGTAGTATAAGTGTGAGTAATGCTTTAAAATAGTATAAGTAAGTGTGAGTATGCTTTAAAGTAGTATAAGTAAGTGTGAGTATGCTTTAAAATAGTATAAGTAAGTGTGAGTATGCTTTAAAGTAGTATAAGTAAGTGATTAGTGCTTTAAAGTAGTATAAGTGTGAGTAATGCTTTAATGTAGTATAAGTGTGAGTAATGCTTTAAAATAGTATAAGTAAGTGTGAGTATGCTTTAAAGTAGTATAAGTAATAATTTAAATTTTCTATTAATATCTAGGCACAGTTGTGTTCCGTATAAGGGGTTTAGTATAATATAAAATATAAGAAATATTTTTTTATATTATTTCTTTTATAATTTTTCGATTATTTTGATTATTTTAGGTGATAGCAACATTAAAAAAGAGATGGGAACAAATGAGAATTATGAAGGATCCAAGCAGAAGATATTCTTCAGTCAACTACACGGTAAAATTTAACAAATGTATTTTTATATTTAAATAACACGAAAAGTTATCCTTTTTGTTTCCTAAATAAATCACAATTTTCTATTCTTGATCGATTCAATTCGAGAAAATGCTACTTTTAAGAATAATACTTTATCAATACACAGAACATTTTTTGGTCTAAATCTTGGATTTTTTCCAATGATTTATTGTTTGCTTTACAAAACATATATTTCAATAGTAAAGCACTTTAACAATCAGATATTATTTGTTTCCATTTTATTGCCATATTCTCAACTATGTATAGCAATAAGACAAAGAGTAATCCTCGGGTTGACCACAATCTATTATTATAATATCCTCATTATAGTATAGGATAAACTAACCATAAAGTTCCATCAGGCATATAAAAAAAATAATAGAATTACAAAATATATCGTAGTTTCATTGATATAATATAAATTAATTTAATATATTATATTTCTG